AGAGTTATGGGCATCAGACAAAATCTAATATCTGTGTAGCCATCTGTAGAAAAAGAAGCTTTTTTGTGTGTGTGTGCATTTCTGCTAAGATAGCCTGCTTTGAAAACAGGTAGGCTTATCATTTTTACAGCTTTACCTAAATTTCAGTCAGATAAATAGTCCTCTGCCAGTTTCCAAGGGCAGCAGTGGAATGGGGTAAGCAGAAGCAAGACCGCACAGCTGTCGTAAGCAATGGCCTCCTCTTAAGTTCCATTTAGGTCCCTGTCATCAGTCTGAGAGCTCACACACTTTGTGCATATAATCCACACAAACACACCTGTGTTGAAATAATTCTATTTTATGGTCCCCACCCCCTCAGTAGTCACAATCAATTAGAAAATTTTGATATTTAATAGTAATACCATTTACTATGTATTCACAACCAGGTCAAAGAGAATCAATGAACAACAATCAAAGTTAGGGTGTATCTGAGACAACTGATAGCTAAGGATTGTATTAGGCGTTTAAAAAGAGGAGAGACCTGAAACCAAGGGCTGTGATGCAGGGGAAGGAGGGGGCTGTCTGAACACTAAACGGGCCCCGGGGAGTGGATTCCTCTCTCTCCGTTTGCTCAGCCCTTGTGAGAAAAATAAAGCTCTTACCAATGAAGCTGCAGCTGTGTGCACCCTCGGCTTAATCACTGTGTAAGGCTGAGGGTTAACTGACTGCCATTCTTAGCTCTACTTGTTGTTCTAATAAAGATTTGCATAAATCTAAGACTGGGAGTAACTGAGCCCTGATTTTGATTTGGAAGATGATGTTGGGGGAGTGGAGGGCGCCTCCATCCTGAGTGGGATGTCTGCGGGATGCTCAGAGCATTTTCTCGTGACCTGGCCTGAGCAGTTCCACCACTGTTTGAAAAGTGGTGGACAGAGACATCATGGTTGCTCAGGAACGCAGGACCTTGCTGGTCCAGGCTGCACCACAGGCAGCCTATAGTTTGAAGTAGATGATACGGGAATGAAATACACAGGGTTTACTTGCAAAGAACTCAGTGTGTATCTCCGAAAGGTAAGGACACATAAAAATTTATGATCACAATTCCGTTTCATTATGCCTAAACACTTCTGGCAATAATTCCTCAATATCAGATACTCAGTTTTCAAATTTCCAATGATCTCCTAAGAGTCATGTGTTTGAGGAGAAATTTTTCAGTGATACGATATCAGAACTACACAGAATCAAACAAGCTTGTAACATTTTAGAAAAAGCGAGAGTTACAGAGTAGAAAGCAGAACTGAGATTAGTAAAATAATGCCAGATGATATGCAGATTCATTTAAAAAAAAAGATTAGAAATACTTCTGGACATTTCTCTGTGAATAAAGCATCTGGAACAGGAAAGCTGTTGACCTTGTTTTATCTCCTAATTGTCAGTGTTCTCAGGATAGTTCCTTTTGTAAGTGGGAAAATACCCATTATTCGTAGGCCCAGAGACCATAATATAGGCATATTTTAAATAATAAATAACTAGATTTCATAGGAAGAATATGATAAAACATCTAAGAGTTTTTAAAAAAACAGCCACCAAATAGCAAAAACAGACTTCAAAAGATGAAATCAAACAGAACAGAGCTTCAATTTTATATATGCTTAAGAAAAGTGCTTTACAAATAAAAGCATTCCATGAAAAATGGAAATGTGTTCAGTACTCTAAACTTCAGCAATTCGTGGATTCAACCACGTTCCCCAGGCAGGACCACAGTCAGAGGATCTGGGGAGCTGGCACTGATCTTCTGAGCTTATCGACCTCTCCTCCCCTCAGATGCCACTCTGTTCCCCACGAGTGTGTCACAGCCAAACTCTGGCAGCCAGCTGTGTCTGACAAATCAGAGTGCTGTGTCAGGCTCAATAAACACCACTGTGGAGTGTGAACAGCCCACTAAGGCCAGCCTGGACCATGGCACTGGGAACAGAATGATTCCCACTGATGCACCCATCAACTGGCTGATAACTTTGGACATTTGCCACCTGAAAGATACTCTCTCCCAAGAGAATCCTTCCCGAGAGATAACAGAGTAGGCGTGACTAATTCAGGAGTAGGCTTTTTTCAGATTATAAAATCAGTGCCAAGGAGGTGGTGGTAGAAATTACTCAATACTACTATCTTCTCTCAGTTAAATTCAGCTAAGGAGGTACTGATCCACCATCTATGCCCATTTGGAGTCCTAAATAGTGTGACAAGTAACATCAGTAACAACCCACTACTGTTTGCAAAGGGTTTCACATACACCATCTCATTTTAAACTCACAGAAATCCTGTGATCTAGGTAGGGCTGCTGATAATCTGTATTATATAAGAAACTGAGGCCGAGGAACATTAAATGGTTGGTTCAAGACCACACAAGTAATAAACAATGGAGCTGGTTTTCCAATCTACATCTACTTACTATAAATACCATGCAAGAAAGAGCACTTAGCCCCACCCTGAAACACAAAACATTTGTTTCTAAATGGACCAAAAATTCTCGAAAGAGACAAATGTAAATTATGAGAAAAGGAGGAAAAAACATTTTAAAAAATAGTTTATGTAAGAACAAGAGTCAGTTAAACCTGTATCTTTGTGTAAAGCCTGCTTCTGAGCTGATAGCATTTCTGGTGTTAAAATAGTTCCACAGGCTCAATGTAGGAAAATCTTCTTTCTTCACATTCTACCAAAATTACATTTGTGATCATCTGAAAATAGGTTACACTGAAGTTTAACAGAAATCTCAGGAGAAAAATTGACAGCAATTGGAAGGATGTGTACCAGAAAACAGTGTGAAATAAATTCATCACTCAAAAGAGTGGACGTTTTGACTTGTGTAAGATAACTCTTTTTAAGATTCTAGAAGTGTGAACATACATACAGATGATGTGTCAATTAGAAAACTTTTTTATGTGTGTTAAAGTATGCACGCTTAGTTTGTTACCATGTATTTCACAAATGGTAGCCTTAAGTAGATAGGGCTATCTCCAGTTGGTGAAACATAAGAAACATTATGATCTTTAGGCTTTTTCTTACTATCGGTAGCTTAATTTTCAAAAATCTATTTATTTTATTAATGTGATTTTGCTTCAGGCAGGGATGAGTTTTCTTTTTCTTTCTTTTTTTTTTGCAGAATGTATCTGCAATTGTCTGAGATACAGAAAAAGAAAACGAATTTGCTCAACATAAACCTTTCTGATTGCTGGGAAAAGGCTTTGGTAGAATGCAGGAACATCTGTGCAGAGGACAGACTCTTTAACATAAGCTGAGTCACGGTGATGGGTCCACTTCAGCTGACCTGGAGATCAAGCAGGCCTGGTTTCCACTAGGGTAAGGACTGCCTCTCTCTCCGGTGCAAGTTTTCTAAGTGAGAAGTTACATCTTATTCCGTGTATAAGAAGTGAAGCTGTCTTACTCTTCCTGTGCTCGGAAGTGCCTCATAAAGAGTAGAGTCTCAAAAGTTTTTTACTTTCTTTCTCTTCCCCCTAGTTTTATTGAGATACAACTGACATATAACACTATCAATTTCAGGTGTACAGCATAATGATGTGACACCAAAAATTTCATGAATAAGTGACTTACCTCTTAAAATAAATTTTTCTCTCAAAAAAAAAAAAACCCCTCAAAATTTCAGCAAACCCCAGAAGTAATTTTTGGAAGTGGGGAGGCAGATGAAGTTCTATGTTCCAATATTCCGAAAGGGAAATAACACACACACACACACACACACAGCCTTTTCAGGCCATTACCTCCAAATGAGGCTATACGCAGTCTCAGAGATAAACAGGACTAAAATAGGAATAGAGAAATTGAAAGAACCAAGTATTTGCCATTCAGTCTTAAATTAGTTCATCATAATTGAATGTCACTGTCTGGCATGAAATACGAATTAATTTAAAATAGTTTATAATGATCTTGCACTATTATATTTTATCTTCTTGGTATCAAAAGCATTATTATATGTATTCTACATATATCACAATTTAATTAAATTCTATATTTATATTTCTGCATTAAAAAAGTTTTTATTACTGAAAAATAACAAACAGAAAAATTTGAAAAGATGTTAATTTCTTCATGTTTTATAAACCAGCCAGCGTCCTCAGAGAGACCCTGATTTCTACTTGTCATTTCTCTCTTGTCTAAAACTTCACTTAACTAGTGAGCTTTTTCCTAAAAATGGAAGGTGGGCTCTCATAAAATAATAAGACTATTAATTAAATACTCTAAGAAGAATTTCTCACTGAGAACATCAATGAAAACCCCAAATGAAAAACCTTTGGATTTTTGCATTTTCCAAAATAAACCCAAATACGTGAAAAATTGGCAATTGTTTTGTCTTTAGTTAAAGAAGCTGATCAGAGACATGTAACTAAGTATCTAGGAACACACAGGAAGCCTGAACTCTCAGCCTTTAGCAAGCCAGCAAACCATAAAGGCTTGGCCATAAGATCTTTTCAGTTTTCCCAGGAAGCTGTATTTCTTGCTTTACTAAAATGTATTTCCTAGTTCAGGAGCTTTTTTGCTGTAATAGCTGGTGGGGATACAACGTTATTAAAATGCCAAAAAGGTCACATCCATGTGGTGTTGCCTGGTTGCTATCAGATTTTAATAGCTCGCATTTCCCAAATTAACATCTTCTGGTAGGCATCTAATTAAAAATTAAGCTATTCAATTTGAATTTGTATTATTCTTTGGCAGCAGGATGTAATGCGCTCTTTAAACGTGCTTTCCCATCTATAACGATTTTTCATTAATTTTTATCACACTGTGCTTTTTCCTTCTTGGCAAATACTAGGTTTTAAAAAGACTCATGACAGACCCAACTGAAAAAGAAAGCAGTTACAGATTGTGGAAATTTTCAATCAGTAATAGCAAAAACAATAGTGACGGTTAGTGGTGGTGGTGGTGGTGGCGGTAGGAAGCAATTGACTGAGGGCTGACATTTAAGTCCTGAGTGGCTCCGGCTCCACACCGGGTTTAGGGTCTCTTACCGGGATTGCAGTCTGTAAGTAGTGAGCAGATGGAGAGGAGGACTTTAGAGATGGTGAGGGCCGGACTCCAGTTATCCTTCAGGATGTCCAGACAGATCACGCCTTGGCTGTTAATGTTACAGTGATAGATTCTTGTTCGGAAGGTAACCTAGAAGAGAATGTAAAGTTGGTATAAATAGACATACCTTTTACTAGACAAAATAATCCAAAGGCCATTGGTCCACCATGTGCTGAATTTCTCCTTAGGCACACGAGAAGGATCAATAAACAAAATCATTACTTGTCATTCTGGGCACAGACAAGTGGCCAGCGGCCAAACCATGACATTCTCCTTTTGATGAAGAGTCTAATCATTTAATTAATGTTCTGGGGACTTAATTTCCTCTCTGCACAATTGCAGGAATGCTCATGAGGAGAAAACTAAGTCTAACTTCTAAAAAAACTTTAAAGAAAAAAATTTTCAAAAACTAAAAACTTCAAAGGGAACTTTCGTCAGATGCCAGTTATTTGAAGGATTTTGTACATTTATAAAATTAAAAAAAAACCCATGGCGATTCTACAAAAGGAAATGAATATTTTACGCTACAGTTTAAAAACATAAGTAGGGCACATATGTAAACAATACATTTAGTTTCCAGAAAAACTATATTAATTATAACTTAACAAACCTTTTCCTCCTTAAATTCTGTATTTTGAATGTAATATGAGTGCAGCCTACTTTTAATTGCTAGATCACAAGTATACTTTGCTTAGCATCATTTTGAAACATGATTATAAACACTTTAAAAGAACTTTGGCTGAAAATGTTAAGTCCAAATCAGTTTTATAACTCTGATAAAATTCTGCTTTACAAACTTCTTACATAAGCAACAATAAGGTTTTTATTGCTATTTATTCATATTGTGCTTAAATGTTCCAAAAATTTCCAATTGAAATATTAAAAAAGTCCTGATGTTCTAAAGACCAGTCCTTCTGGTACCCTGTGTTCAAAATGATTTTGAACCAAGAAACACATGGCAGACCTTTGACGGCGCTGCCGCCCCACCAGGGCACTGTGTATCCACTCAGACAACAGATTTGCTTAATTCATATGATATCAAGGTCAGAAAGGACAGATCGGGTCTTCTACAAATGTTCAACAGCATGGTACCATTTTCAGGCTAGAGCAGCCCTCCTTACGGGAGCTGCCCTCTGGCAATACACCAGGTCAGATAACCCTGACATCTCCCCACCCCAACATACACCCAAACACCCAGAAATGCTGAAGAAAATATAACTAGCATTCTTTAAAACACATAGCTGATTTGCAAAGGGCATCCCCAGAGGCCAGAACTGAGAACCAAAAATTACAGTGAGCACATGAGCTAACAGTGTAGCCGCCAGGGGTTGTGATGCCCTCATGGACACAGAAGATGAAACCTGAGGTCTGCATGTGGCAAGGGGTTGGTATTGAGACCCCTTCCATAAATCAGGACACCCGAGCAGCTAGCCTGTCAGGCTGGACCTGAAAAGATGATGCTTTGTGGGAGAGAGAGCTAAGAAACTTGCTGGAGAAACCCTGGGCACGGGAGTTGGGAGAAAAGTGTTTCCCCTGAGAATTCTAAATCCTGGGCACATATACTATGTAAACAGTCGCTAAAAAAAGAGCTTAAATGGCTATATTACTATCAGATCAAATATACACTTAAGGCAAAGGGTATTTAAGGCGAATGTGAATAAAAAGAATAACTGCATTATGATGAAATGAATAATTCATCAGGGAAGTATAACACTTCTGAATGTGTTATACCTAACAACACAGCCAAAAGTATAAACAGTAGAAATTGGCAGCATTATAAGGAGAAAATGATACATCTACAATCAAAGAGGGACATTTTCACTGCAGTAGATGATAGGTCAATGAGACCAAAACGTAGTTAAGATACTGAAAATATGAAAAACCCAATTAATAGAATCAAGGTACTGAATAAAGATAAAATTCCACACTCAACAATTAAAGAATACATGTTCTTCTCCAAGCCCATAAGAAACACTGATAAAAACTGATCTCATGCTAAGCCACCGAGGAAGCATAACATACTTCCCCAAATTATTAAGACCATAAAGATCCCCCAATATACATCTGGAAACTGAAAAACACATTTTCAAATAATTCTTGGATCAAAGAAAGAAACCAGCTATGTTTATAATGGAAAGACAATGGAAAAATGTTGGGTTGCCAATACCAAAATTTGTGATTTGGTTAAAACAGTTTAAAAAGAGACATCTACAGTTTCAAATGCACATATTAAAAAGGAAGAAAGACATTAAGTGTCCAACTAAGGAAGAAAAAAGAACAACAGAGCAAATCCCATGAAAGTAGAAACAGATGGACAGAAGTTAATTAAACAGAGAATATCTAAAGATATTAAAATCCTACGAGGAGAGAGAGTACCCAGCCTTTTAGGTGCTAGATGAAAAGATAAAACATTTTTATGATCTAATGTAAATGATGAGTGGCTTTTATATATAATAACAGTATTTGAAAAACCTATCAGATATTGATTGATTACTCTCAGCCAGTTAATCATCAAAGCAACTCAAGGATGGAAGCATTATTATTGTACTCACTTTAAAAATAAAGAAATTGTAACTATGTGAGGTGATAGATGCGAACTAAATTTATTGTGGTACTTATTTCACGATATGTACGTATAACAAATCATGATGCTATATACCTAAAATTAATACAATGTTATATATCAATTATATCTTAATAAAACTGTAAGAAAATTTTAAATAAATAAACAGAGGACTCTCCACACTGTTTTCCACTGTTGCTGCCCCAATTTACACTCCTATCATGTCATCTAGTAATTCCACTCCTGGGTATTTACCTGAAGAAGATGAAAACACTAACTTAAAAAGATATACAGGGCACAATCATTGAATGAATGACACAGCAACTGAGGACAGGACAGACTGTTTAGAATCAAGATGGTGGAAGATTCAACTTCCAGCTGACCTTGAGCCTCATGGCACAGCCACAAAGCCATGACAGCTTCTAGGCTGATGGGATAGATCAAAAAGTGGGTGGGGGCTCGATTCATGAAAATCCCTGTCCCTTCCTGAAAGTAGCTGGAATAATCCTCCTACTCATTAGCATATAAAATTACCAAGCCCATAAAACCTAACAGTTCTGCACGTCAAGGTCACTCTCTCTCTTGCCTTCTGAGACAGCCCACACTCTATCTATGGAGTGTGTATCTCTCTAAATAAACCTGCTTTCACTTAAAAAAAAAATTAAAAGATACACACACCACTATGTTTACTGCAGCATTATTTATAATAGCCAAGCTATGGAAGCAACCTAAGTGCCCACTGATAAATGAATGGATAAAGATGTAGCATATATATATATATGTGTATGTGTGTGTGTGTGTATAAAAATATACATAAATATGGAATATTACTCAGCCATAAAAACAATGAAACCTTGCCACTTGCAGCAACATGGATGGATCTAGAGGGTATTATGCTAAATGAAATAAGTCAGTCAAAGACAAATACAGTATGATTTCACTTACATGTGGAATCTCAAAAAACAAAACAAATGAACAAACAGAAATAGTCACAGATAACAGAGAACTAACAGGTGGTTGCCAGAGGGGAGGTGAGTGGGGAGAGGAGAGAAACAGGTGAGGGAGATTAAGAGGTGCAAACTTGCAGCTACTATATAGAGTCATGGGGATGAAATGCACAGTGTGGGGAATACAGTCAATAATAATGTGCTATCTTTGTATGGTGACAGATGGTAACTAGGCTTATCATGGTGATCACTTTGAAATGCACAGAAATATCACATCAGTATGTTGAGTATTAGGAACTAACACAGAGTTGGAGATCAATTATACTTCAAAAACAAACTCATAGAAAAAGAGATCAGATTTATGAGCAGAGAGGGAATTAAATGAAGGCAGTCAAAAGGTAAACTTCCAGTTATAAGATAAATAAGTACTAGGGATGTAATGTACAGCATGATAAATATAATTAACACTGCGATTTGTTATACACGTAAATAATCAAGAGAGTAAATCCTAAGGGTTCTCATCACAACAGAAAGGTTAAAGACCTGGCTCATGGTCCCACGGTTGGTGGGTGGTGGAGCTGGAATTTGAACATAATTTTGTTGATTCAAAAGTGCAGCCTCAATGCCTCTGTTCTCTCTCTCTTTTTTTAACTTTTAATTCTGAGATAATTAAGATAATAGATAATTATAGATTCAGATGAGGAAGAAACAATACAGACAGACCACATACATCCTTCCCTCAGTTTCCCCCAAAGGTAACATCCAGCATAATGACAGTACAGTATCGCAGGAAACTGACAATGATAAGGTCCACTGACCTTGCCTGCACATCACCAGTTCTACATGCACTCACGGATATATATGTTTCTCTGCAACTGTATCATGTGTAGATTTGTGTGACCACCACCACTGTCAAGACACAGCACACTCCATCACTCACATCCTTTGTGTGACCCTTCAACAGCCACAGTCACCTTCCTCCTTGCCTCCCTTCTTAGTTCTCAACAACCACAACTCTGTTCCTCATCTCTATAATTCTGTCACTTCAAGAATACTATATAAATGAAATCACATGGGCTGTCACTTTTTGAAATTGGCCCTTTTCACTCTGCATAATTCCCCTGAGATCCATCTAAGTTGTTTCCTGTTTCAAGAATTTGTTGTTTTTATTGTTGAGGAGTATTTCATGATGTGGATGTACCAGTTTGTTTAACCTTTTACCCACTGATTGTTTCCAGTTTTTGGCTATTACAAATAAAGCTGCTATGCCCTACATACAATAGCCAAGACATGGAAGCAACCTAATTGTCCACTGACAGATGACTGGATAAAGAAGTTGTGACGCATTTATACAATGGAATATTACTCAGCCATAAGAAGAATAAAATAATGCCATTTGCAGCCACATGAATGGACCTGGAGATCGTCATTCTAAACAAAGTAAGTCAGAAAGAGAAAGAAAAATACCATATGATGTCACTTACATGTGGAATCTAAAAAAGAATAAAAGGGGGAAAAAAAGGACACTATGAAGTCATCTACAAAACAGAAACAGACTTGCAGACATAGTAAACAATCTA